GTGTGGCCTTTTGTGTGGTTGTAGTTTTCTTTCGTTGCATAGTAGTTTGACCTTTTTGTCGCAACTAGGTTATATTGGTAGGAAGACTTATAGGAATGCACCTAGTCCGGAGTCCATTATATGCATGATACTATCCAGAGTCTGGTACATTCCCTGACGTTTTTCTGGCATCGTCAGTGAGTCTTGCCATTCTTAGTACCACACTACAAATCGTCAGAGACAAGTGAAGCCGATCCTTTGACCTAATTTGTGCTAAACAGTTATGGTATCTCTACTTTTGGTCTGGGCTATTCACCTTTCCTATATCCCCGTATCATGCTTTCACTATCACAATTTTTCCTTGTTTACTTAAATGTGGTATGGTGTGCCCTTTTGAGTGGCTCTAATTAGAACCCTCCACACTACGCTGGCATTCTTATCCACCTTCGCCCTTGATCAGAGTCTGCCATATTGTTACTCAGTCTTTGTTCCCTAGGTCTTATCAGAGTCTTTCTCTTGGCCCGTAGGATATGTCTGCTATCCCCTGGTTCAAGTATTTCACTCGACCCATGTCACTCCTGTGCTCCACGAGATGTTATTTCTCACACTCCGCGTCTGGGCAACTAACTTGAGGCTAAAGCCTCTGAGTAATTCTGATGGCCAAGTCTTTGCTTCATGAACCACGTATGTGGTAAAACAGTCCTATTGTCAGCCAACTAGTTCTAGTCTCCGCTGCGTCTATCCTGTTTATATTCCAAATACCAAGTCTATGACTTGTGCACCAACCCACAAATGTTGTGTTACTGCTTGCTTTGATAGGGTTCAATGTTGAACCACAACATTTGTGAGTTGGCGCACAAGAGACTAGAGCATAGGAAGTCATAGGCTTGATATTAGGGAGACTCTGATAAGACCTAGGGAAGGAAGACTGGGTAACAATATGGCAGACTCTGATCAACATTCCCAGCACAAGGGTGAAGGGGGGTAATAATACCAGCGTGGAGTGTTGAGGGTTCTCAAGAAAGCCACTCAAAAAGGGCACACCATACTACATTTAAGTAAGCAAGGAAAAATTCTGATAGTGAAGGCGTGATACGAGGATATAGGATATATGAATAACCCAGGACAGAAGGAGAGAAACTACAACCGTTTAGCACACATTTGGTCAAAGGATCGGCTTCACTTGTCTCTTTGACGAGTTGTAGTGTGATGCTGAGACCGGCAAGACCCACTAACGATGCCAGTGAAACTTCAGGGAATGTACCACGTCCACGGTCCTACTCTGAATAGTATCATGCATACAATGTACTCCAGGCTGGGTGCGTTCCTCTAAGCCTTCCTACCAATATGACCAAGTTTCGAAAACAAGATCAAACTACTTTTATTACTCTTTCATCTGTAAAAGATTAAAGCACACGTTGCTTAAAAAAGAGGTCAATTTCTATTACATCCTTACATCTGAGGGCTAATTTTTGTTCTTTGCTATGTTGAGCTCAACTGGGACTTGTAATTTCTATCCTTTCACATTTATAAATAAATAACTAAGTTTGTACACTATAATCGGGTCTCGCCATGCTGACGTAACACCAGTGTTAGTACGGCAATCTAGCTTCACAGATTATTTTAAGCCCCTCACAAGATTGTGGCTCGTACATCTTCGGATTCACTTCTGCATCTCGATTAGTACTCTAGTCGATGACAGCAAGGTTGATGTCTCGACATATATCCGGATTTGGATTCTCGTTTATACCTGCTTTTGCTGTTGAGAGTATGAATGTGAGTTGAGCATGCATGAATAAGAAATCCAGATCAGAGGAAGAATCGAGTGGAGCTTCTATAAGGACAAATGCTTCGTTTTATTCCAGATTAAATATTTCACATTTACTCATGGATGATTATGGACTAGTTTGGTTTCGGAGACCCTCATCAAATGTTTAAGTGAACTGAAGTACATTCATTCTAGGGTTACTGATCGATTTTCTGTTTCCATGCGGGCTTGTAGATAGATTAGTTATCAGCATAAAGGGAAACCACCTGAAAATGCATAACTCGATAACTATCTCCATTCTTTGTGCTCTGCTATTTTGTTAGTGCATTTGGGCTTTTTTTGGGGTGGGGTGGGGCTTATGCCTTAACGATCGATCTTTATGCGCTTTTTATCTAGGAGGTTAATTTTACACAGAACCATCTGAAAAAGGCCCCTCGTAATGAAAGCGCCTGGAACTACCTGTATGGCCTGCTTGTGCCGCCCTCCGTTCCTTCTGACTCACCAGATCAGCAGATAACCATTCAGCTTCCGCCGGCGCATGTCCTGGCCCGCATGCGCATCTTTTTCGATGAACTTGCTGCGAGCGATCCAAGCGTACAGGATAGTCCGGCACCGCTTAGCTTTCTACTTGAGGTGTTAGCCGACTGTTTAATTCTGAAGCTGGCTACTCTTCGTGTGACCAATGACTGCGATGCCACTTCCTGTCCGATGGAGTCAGAAAAGTGCGTGAGACTTTTCACATTTATGTCTTATCTCTTCATTTTATTTGTATCCATTCCCTGTATCTTGATGAAGATTAGATTTGCAGTGTCCTACTCTCCCACGCAGTCTGTGCTGTTCTTGCAGGTATGAAGGAGGTATGAAATCGTATAGATCGGATTATTCTGTCACCTTGCCCATCTGGTGTACTATGCGATTTATCCTGTTCTTGATTTTGGGTTTTGAACCTAAGGTGGCAGAAAATCCAGGCTTGGATTTGGACTTTTTAATACGAATATAACAGCCAATTATGTACGCGCCTTCCGATTGAGTGGTCGGGAGCAAAGCCTTCAGAGGATGCATATCTCGATAAGAGAAATATGGCGAAGTGGGGTATATTAAGGTCCTCAGTCCACGATACTTATTGCAGCCTAGCTTTATTGCTTTTAGCCACTTCGCTTTATTTTCACCATGCATTATTTGGATGCCATTTTCTCCCAAATAATCCTTAATCGCTACCATGGTTAGAGAATTGCTTAAATTAGTGTTCCTACTCAGTCTTCTGGAATCCATTTTCTTATCGCGGTCCGACCAAGGGGTTCCATAGGACTCAGGCAACTGGGCCTTTTTTTAGGGAACAATGAGATGCGATTCTCATTTAGGGCTACACAAAACGTATCAGGCGCTGGGTGCAAGTGATTCTATAGAGGCTAGGCTACTTTATTCCTAATGGCCAGGATGAACTGGCTTGTCCTTTAACTATTTGTTTACAGTTAAACCTTGATTTTCCATCGAAAGTCCAAGATGGTGTCGCCTCTATTTGAGTTGCGGTCTTCTTTCGTTGTACAGGGGGGGTTTGACTTTGTTTTTGCAACTTGATCGTATCGTCAAAGAGTGAATACTTCTTGTCCGGAGTCCTCTGTCATAGTAATCATGATACTTTTTATCTCGAGACTACGGAAAGGTACCACTAGGGGGACTCTGGATAGGGTGCGTTTTCAGTTTCTCTGCTCGTTCTATATTTCATCGGTTGGCACACAAGAGACTAGGGTATGAGAAGTCATAGACTTGGTATTAGAGATAGAAACAGGATAGACGCGTCGGCGTTGGGAGCTAGTGGGCTGACAGCAGTTTTTATAAGAGACCTGGTCCATGTGGCAAAGGCCTAACCATGACACTTACTCAGAGGCTTGAGCCTCGAATTAGTCACCCAGACGCAGGGTAGGGCTAATAACGCCTTTGGCCCAGATGGGGTGGCAGGGGTCGAGTGAAATATGCGAACCAGAGAGAGGCAGGAGAGAGACGGGGCCAGATGGAGTGGCAGGGGTCGATGAAAATATGTGAACCAGAGGGAGGGCAGACAGATCTTACGGGGCAAGAGAGAGACTGGGGTAAGACCTAGGGAAGGAGGACTGCGTAACA